GACCTGCCCACGGCCCGGCAGGATTCTGTGAACCGCAGCCGAAGGTGGGCCGAAGGCACCCACCAGAGCCCTCTCAGGAGGCGGTTAGGAAAAGACTCCCTCCCGGCATAGTTTTGGTTAAAACATCAAAGAGGAAATGAGTTGACAGCCAGAATGAGCTAGCCGTGTGTTGGGATGTTTGACTAAAACGTACAAGACCCAGCAAAACTTCCTCTGCAAATAATTTTCCTAGGCTATTTTTCCTTTTTTTCCCCCTCTCTTTTCCCCTGTATAAATTGTGCATAGATTTGGCAATTTAAACTTTAGGAATTGAAAGTCTTGTAACTAATCCATAATTTTCAATTGCTTTTACAGATAAGTGGTCGTATGTGGTTTCTCCAGGACTTTTTACACGGGTAGAATTTCACTGAGTTGGCATTTCAAATCTATTCATGAGACACAGCAAAAATGAATAATAAAATAAGTTATTTGTTAAATACTGTTAGATACATGCATAGATGCAATTCTGTGCTCACTCCCAGATCTTCAGCCACAAGAAAACACGTTTTATGGATTGGCAGGTACAGGAATGTCCTGGAAAATGTGTACTTCAGGAAATCATTTTTAAATATTTGTCCTCTGCATGGATCATCTTTTCAATTTCTGTCTCAAAAGACAGATGTTTTTAGCACAGGTGCTAAGATACAACCAGAGAAGAATACAGGGGCTTTGGTGAGTGAGCAGGCTCCCCAAAGCTCCTTAGGACTTGAAAAGTTGGATGGCTCTGGGAGCATCAATGTGAAGCATGTAATGGAACACAGTGAACCGTTCTTTAATAGTCTCCAGAAATGTACCTGTCCTTCCGATGTCCTGGACTTGGCTTCAGAGTCTGCTGTTTCCACTAAGCACTTCGCAAACTGTTTAACTACAGTGTGGAGGCTCTTCAGAAGCCTGTCAGAAGACCAGCAGCGTTACGAGAAGCAGCTGATCTTTGAGCACCCAGCGTTTGTCAAGCTTTGTCAGCAGTTGCTGCAGGACGCCAGAAGGATGACGCGGGGTGACCTGGTGTTCGGTCTGCATGCCGTGGTGAACCTAGGTGTTCCTCAAAACACTCTCCTAGTCCAGACTTTGGTGAGAGTTTGCCAGGTAAGTATCAAAATCCCTCTTCTCCTAAGTTTGGGCAGAAACCTCAGGGCTAATTCTGGGAGGTTGTGCAATATCAGAGAGTTGGGTTACATCCCGTGTTTAGTCTGATGTTCCATGGAAAGAGGGCTCCCATACTTAATTTGTGTGTACTTCTGATTTCCTTCATTTTTGAAACCACTGCCTGATTTCAGACAGATGTAACTGAGAGGAGAAGTGTCAAAAATCATGGCCCTTTTTAAATCAACTAAATGCAACTGATGTGAGACCTTGTAGGTCACTGCAGAATTTAAGTTTAGGAATTGACTTCTGGGGGAAATAGAAGATGGCAGGTACAGATTAAGAGTTTTCTTTTCTGAAACTTAGTCTGGTCCGAAGTAATCTGACATTGTGACAACTCTTTTAACAGGAGAAGCTCAATCAACTCGATAACCGATGTATCTCAGTTTTGGCAACTACTTTAGCAGGGCTGGATAAAGACAGGAATGTGAGTGCTCTTCAAGCTGGATTACAGTAAGAACAATATATCTTTCACATGTTCTTCATATTTAAGTGCTGTTTGAATATGTGGAGGGAATGTCTGCGCATCCAGGACTGGTTTTAGGACCTAAATGAGCACAGGAGATAACAACTGTACAAGACAGGGATTTTTGGCACTGTCTTTGCAGTTTCAAGCAGAAAGGCTTCTGATGGCATAGGGTGCTAGACTGCTCTGCAGCGGATTCATATTCCGACTGCAGCTCCACCACTGTGGTTTCTTTTGTGCTGTTGATCATGTCACTTCATGTATCTGTGCCTCTGTTTTATCCACGTGTAGAAAGGAGCTAATGAGACTAGCTTACTTTGTGCAGTATTTTGATTTGTCATGACGAAAGCGCTGTTTAACAGACAGGGAATATTTTCTTTTAATTTAGTAAGTAAAAATTGATGAAGACAGGTTTAGACTTTTTCAGTGCCTCCAGCAAGGCCTTCTGTGTGGTGCTTTATCAGAATAACTTCTTTGGCTGTAGTGATTTTTTTTCTGGGCCAGTGAGATTTATGTGGGTAACCACTGCTCACTCCCATGAGACTGTTTTTACTGAGGCTGTTACAGAACTTGCCAGTCATCAGTACTTTTGGCCCTGTGTCAAGTCCTGCTTTGAGAAGGTGGATGTTAGCGATAGGCAAAACCCAAGTTCTCCTGGAAGCAGAGGTACATAGTTCTTATAAGTTGGTAGAAAGCAAGTGATCCATCTACAGCTCTTTCTCTGAATTTCAGTGCAGTGCACAGAAGCGTGTTAATTTCTTGAGGCTTAACAGCACTCAGGCCTGCACAGTCATATGTGAAGCCTGGGCAGGTGCCCCTGCTGTTAATGTATCAGCAACAGCACTCCTCTATCAGGATAACGTTAAGAAAGGATATATAATAATTTGCATGTGCAGAACATCTGTGCTGCGGCTACATTGTGTAGAGTTATGCTAACCTTGCAAAAAAGGAGGTGGGATAGGAGCAGAGAATTTCAGCCTTAACTTAGGAGTACATCAGTGATGGAGAATGGGGGTACCCATCTGTTTCTGCTGAAATGAGGGAAGCTTTACTAAACACTCTCCAGCTCAGGGCCTTGTGTGTGTTTCTTCATCAGGTTACTAGTGGAGCAGCGCATTCCAGGTATCAGAGACATCTTTATACTGCAAAACCTGATGAAATGCATGGGAAAAGATGCTCCAGTCTTTCTGAAAAAGAAATTAGAGGTAAATTTACTTGGAGGCTCATTTTTACTCTCCCAAAGCCTGTGTTCTTTATTGTTTATGAACTGTGTGGTTCTTTCCAGACACTCAGAGAGAAAATAAAATAGAAAGGTTAACTGCATTTGCTATATGAATCACAGTCCAGCTGTATCTGCAGGAAGAATTTAAATTTGGAGCTGGGAATACTCCACCGTGAAAGGGGGCTGAAAGCAAGAGAGATGGTACAAAAGAAATTGAGGCACTAAAATAGCAGTGCCCTCACCTCTTGCTTGGGTTGGCCACGTAGAGTTTCATAGAAGCATTTACAGGTTGTTCTCTGATTCTTTTGCCCAGCTTGTGGCTGGAAGATGAGAAGACAGAAAATGAGTCTGTGATGGAGCTGTGTCCCATAAAGGTGCAGGGCAAGAGGACTGATGGGAGTGAGATGCCAGGAGAACTCACCTAGCTCATGGCATTACCTTTCTGTGTATCTGAAAGGTCCCCTGGGAAATACGGTGGTTGGGGCAGGCTGTAGGTTTTATGGCAGGGCACACTGGGTTTCGTCCCTCGTTTAAAGCCACTTTTTGAAACCTTTCCAACAGGGCCTGCTACTGTTTTCATCACGTAGCTGATGAGGTCAGAGTCAGTAAAAGCATTCCTGAGGAAGGGAGGGAAGATACCACTGATGGGAAACTAGGCAAGAGTAGAGCAGTGCAGGGGTCTCATGCGATGTGTTAGATGTAAGTAAACCTTTAAAACTTGAACAAGGTACCACTTTTTACAAGATGATGAGGACCTGGCTGAAGATGTGGTGGAATATGGAAGTGGGAGGAAACTAACAAGTGGAAATGTTAACTGAAGGGAGCTCTTAATTTTCTGAGCCTACAGGGTGCTGTTTTTAATACTGTGTAATTTCTATTGTAGACACTTTTTATATTTAACCTTCGATATGCATGCAGTAAGACTATTGTATTTATTAGGTAATATACTTTGCAGTTTCGTTTTTACTGTCATTTATATCAATCTAATTACTGCTTTGATAAACAAAGCCTCTTTTGTGGCATCAGAGCTTACCTTCTGTGCCTCAGTCCACATTTGTAGCTGGGTGTTAGTATTAAAGATATGCCACTTGGTGTGCCATTGCATCACTTTGAAGGCTTACAGCTTTCATGTGCATCCAGAACGGTAATTAGAGCACTATTAAATGTCAACTGTGACAATTATATTTCTGCTACTTTTTAAAGAGTTGGTAGAATATTCACAGTAATTGAAAATGAACTTTACTGAGACTTCTTTCTTAAAAAAATAACATATAAAGGCAAATTGCTGGGAACTTGCATAGTGACACAGCTCTAGAACACCTGATCTGCTATAATTGTGTATCAAGAAATTGAGAGTAGTTACTTGATGCTTTTGCTATTTGTGGTTCCTTTTTCTGTCATATAAGTCTGAACAGCCTAAGGAATTTGGGAAAGTTCTGATAAAAATGCCTTCATGGTAATGTGGTGATAATATACCTGAAGAATGAAGGTTTTAATAAACTTTAATTCATTATAGGTGGCAGTTTTGAAAGAGATAGACCATCTGACTTTAGAGACTGCTCTGCGTCTGGTTTTGGCTCTTCTTGAAATGAACTATTGTTCCATTCCAATCCTGAATGCCTGCAGTAAAACGATCCAGGGTAAGAAAAATGTATTATAGCTATGTATTTTATGTATAAAATATCTGGTGCCTTCCATCTCACCTTTCTTTGTGTTTATCTTTGGAGAATAGATTTTTTTACGAATACCAGTCTGATGAAGTTAAATGAATTTCTTAAATTTCCCTTTCTTATACCATATTCTTTGCAATTATTGTCTAATCTCCTTTTTCTGTATTCCTTTAAAACTCAGAAAATATCTTTGTTTTACAGGACATTGTAGTAATGTGGGGCCTTTTGACAAGCAGCAAGACAGGAAATTATGGATCGATAGTGAAAGCAAATAGCTCTTGTCATCTCTGCCCTTCTTAACATTTACCTGAACTACGTGTTTTTCTTTGCATTTTTCTGTATGCAGAATTTAGGAAAAATAATTTAATTCTAGCAAGAAAAAACAGATTTCAGGCAAACTTTTAAAACAAATCTGAATTAGAAGGGGACATCTTGCAGGATGGATTAGTAGCTTAGTGTGATTAGTTGATAAATTAAAAGGAACATAGCGTTTCCCTGATTAACTGGATTTAATCAGTGAATGCTGCTTAATAACTGATCTTATGCTGCAATCCAGAAAAAAAATAAATGAGAGCTAATGGTTTCACCTCTTTCCGTATCTTTACAATATATTTCTGAAGTATATGTGGTCAGGATGTTTTGATTTACACTTAAAATACATACGAACGTGTCTTAAAAAACATTGAGATAAAAAAACCAGCATTCTTAACATAAATGAGCCACGAGTGTTCGGGCTGCTTGTAGAGCCTTTATTTGTTCTGGTTGTTTGTATGTGTTAGGACACAGTCTTTACACATTCTGGCTTCTCCCATAGGACCTGCACCACACTCAGTACACAGGCTAGATGGCATACACAGAGTGAGCAACTACTCCGTACTTTTTTCTCCACTTCTTTTAGTGCATGTTCTTAGGACTTACATGCTGCACATCATGCAAATGATCCTCTGGGGACAGAGTAATTAATTTCTGGACAGAAATCACCCTTATCAGAGGCTGAAGATGGAATAGGAAGAGGTGGGAGGGGCATGCTTTGGGGCTCATGGGGCAAAGGAATTCTCCAGCTGGTTTTCCAGGTCCTGTGCTGTTGCTGGAGTCTCAAGAAAGTAGCCCCCTCTCCCATACCTGTGAACCTGACCAGAATTGTAATAACTGTGTACTTCATACGTACTTACTGAGTTTTTACAGCAGCAAGGGAGTGACCCAGTGGTGATAGTAATTTTCTAATTATGCAGAAGAGAGATAAAGGTCAGAGTGTCCAGTAATTTGAGATTCCGTTGGCCTGTTTTCTTTAAGAATACCTAGCATTACAAATCACTTTATTTGATGCACAGCTCTCATTGGCTTCAATTGCAATTGTCAGCACTCAGCACTTCAAGAAATGAGTCAACTGTTTCGCGCTGAGCTTGGAAAATCACTGAGCACAACTCGGCGGAGTTAAGTTCAGCTATTTTCCTGCTGTCCTCTTGCGTCCTCTAGCAGAGGACAGATAAAGTCTAGTTTTGATGGGTGCTGATCTGCTATGGTAACTATGCTCTTTTCTCTTGCAACCACTGTCTTTTATGACAGATATGTCCCTTGTTGCACCAAACGAAGCAGGATGTTCAAGAGAGTGTTGTTCTTCAGTACTTAATCTTTTTCATCACAGGAGTAAGTCCATCTTGTGTGGCAAATGAAGCAGCAATCCTGTGCAGAAGTCTGTTGTCATCTGGCACTCAGTCTGCCTCATCATGCTCATATGTCAGGAGGTTACGTTATGGTTCCATGTTTTCCAGTTCGGCATACACTAGTGCTTTTGCGCTTGACAGCCTTTAGTGCATTTTAACATGGATTCATGTTTGTGGTTTCTTGCAGTTTTGTAAAACCAAATGATAAAAAAAAAGACTAAATTTTATCATGTGCTAATATCTGATTAATCAGCAGCTTTAGATCCACCTCTTCTTTACTGCCTCAGCTGACATGGAGACAGGGAGAGCCCCGAGGCTCAGTCAGTGCTAAAGGGGCTAGCCTGAGCGTTCTGGGCTGAGTACTGGCAGTGCTGAAAATCAAGAATCTGTGAACAGAAGATGTTCTGGGAACAGTCTTCTCTCTTGTTTTGTTAGCTTGTCCCCTTTTGCTGATTTATCCCTTCTAGCTTGATCCTGACTTAGTTTGGTTTCTTCTACCTCTCAGTTTCTTCATGTGTTGTAGCTCAGTTGACTTTGCCTAGCTAGTCTCAGTCTGTGCCACAATTCCTCATCTACTTATTTTTCCCCTCCTCCATCCCTTAGCCAAACTGTTCCCACAATGTCACTTGTCCTTCTTTGCTCTTCCGTTACAGACAATGTCCACGATACTCAGATTCGGCAGTTAATCCTTGTTCTGGAAACTTGTAACAGTCTCCAGTACCGTAATCTAAAACTGTTTTCAGCATTGGCAGACTATGTGAATTCTACTGCCTGCCTCTGGGAGAAAAGACAGGTGAGTTTGAGACCAAATAATTTGGTACTAGGTGGTACTAGAAGAATTCCTGGTGGTTTCCATCTTACTTTTTTTATGCTTGTGTTTTCTCTTTGGAGAACAGATTTTTTACAAATTCCAATTTGATGAAGTCGATACAGTTAAATTTTTAAAATGCTCTTATATTTATTGAATAAAGACATAAGAAATAAAAGGGGTGTAACATTTTGAAATATCTGCTTTCATTAAAAATACCTTTTATGAAATCAACAGGTAGGATTCACTTTACTAGCTTTCTTCACCTTACAAATCTTTTCTTTTAGATTATCCTTTTTATTTCTGCCTCTGAGACACTTGGCTTTCAGCCTAGTGAGCTGATGGGTACTTTTGCTAAGAAGGTGACAGAAGACCCTGAATTCCTCAACTTGAAAAACCTCTTGGTTGTTCTCCGAGTGTATTCACGACTCAACTATGTTCCCTGCGGCGAAAAGCATCTGTAGGTTTTAATTTAGCATGCTGATAATGTTACGTACTCATTATAGAGTAATGTATGGCAACTGCCATTTAATTTCAGTTGTGAAAGAGTTCATAATCCTGTTTTATTATGTGTAAGGTAAATCTGCTGTGTCTTTTCACATTTTTTTTTCTACATAGTAATTTTTCTTTGTAACTGAAAATGGAGACCTTGGTTCTAGGCTGACCAGGCTACTGAATCTCGTGATAGCTGGCTGTATCCTCTAAGAAGAATCAAAAACTCATTTTAGATTACATAGCATATGATTACACAAGACAATAAAAATTTCTAACTTGTATTTTTGTTTGAAATCTGTATTTCATATAGCCTTGTTTGTATATTTAGATATTTTTCTTCTGTCTTTGGAAAAGGTTTTTCGAGACTCTTCATAGCTGCTTGAATAAATACCTCCCTCAGATATCCAACACAGACCTGCTGAAGGCAGTGTATTCATTTTGCATCTTAGGATACCTTCCTCATCGTGCACTTGATGTGCTCCTGCAAAAGGACAGCAAGAATGAACTTCTCCCGTCAGGTCAGGCCTTACTTTGTCATGTTCTTGTTTTAAAGGGATAGTCTGCCTCTGTACCTAATCTGTTGTATTTGTGTTCAAAGTTGAGAAACCTAAGTATGCAAACATGACTGATATTAAATTTGAAGTCCTCAAGGCAAAGCTAACGTGGTGATGGCGATGAAAGTGATCTGTTTCTGCACTAGGGCTTATTGTCCTTTGCCCCATGGTGGCAACAGTGTAATAGTAGGTGTGCACACGGAAAGAGGTGAATATGAGATTTGTGGAAACGTTAGAAAGGTTTAAGAGCCAGGGGTTCGGTCTTTGACAGATGTTCAGGCATTTTTAAAAACACAGGAAGTCTTAACCTTTGCAAATCAACTTTAGTACCTAGAATCATGAATTAAAGGGTTTTTTGACTGCTCTGAGTTATAATGAGGAAGTTGGAATGGCTTGTAGTAGAATTCGGTTTCCACATTACAATTCTCTATTGCAGTAGAGTAGTTCAGTGGAGCAGAAATTCAGTGTAGAGTCAAACACTGTGTCTAGCTGCTGAGTGAAACTGAAAGCTCTAAGGCTGTAATTGCTTAGAGTTTATGCATCTTGGTACTCCTAATGAACAGTTTGAAAATTATCACCAAGTCTGATACCCCTTCTTTGGCTTATAAATAGCCTTCTAGTTGCCTGGATTTTAGAAATGGTTTTATGCATGCTCTCTCATTCCATGTTCTTCTTAAGTCTCCTGTAATAACTGATAGCATGCACAGAGCTGTGTACAGTAGCGGGGAAAGACTGGATAAATGGGCAGGTCCCAGCCATAGGCTTTTAATATTATAATTAGTGAATTGATGGTGTATTTTTAACAATATATTAAAGGTAGTCCATAAAGGTACTCACATACCAGTGAAAAATACAAGTGGGTTTTGATTCCTATATTGAAATTCATTTGCTCTGCCAGAACAGACTATAAATGACAAAAAAATCTGTGAGATGTTGCATTGGTTGTAATATGTTTTGTATCCTTTTTCAGATGATCTGTACAAAGAACAAAATGAACAGATGCTTTGCTGTGTGAAAGCATGTATGGAGCTTGATAGCCCTTCCTTCACAAAGCCTGCATTTGTGCCGACTGAGGATTTCTCTTTACTAGTATCTCTCAATCTCAGAAAGGCTCGGGAGGCACTGATAGAACTTCTGGGAGATGAGAACATGTTTCGGGAAAACGTTCAGCTGCCATATAAATATCATATTGGTATGAAGCTAAATTACTCTCATACTCTTTTTAATGTAGATTTATAGTCCCCAAAATAGTAAGGTGGGAACAAATTTGCATAGGGTGCAAGTGATTAAAAGTGTCACATTTTGAAGACACAAGCTTTTAACAAATGTTGTCCTTGATTGGTGAATCTACTTTCTAGGATGCTTCTGTTAAAGTATTTAAGTCAATTACTAAAACTTTATGATTGCTCTTATTTAAAAAACTGCTTTGGACTTTTTGTTAAGCATCAGCAAGCAGATGTTAATTAACTGTATGTAAATCCAACTGTTCTAGAGAGTTGACATATTAATAGTAGATTACATAAGAAACAAACCCAAACTGCGGCCTTCTTTTGTTCTCTGACTTGTTTCTTCTCTGAAGCTTTGGCTAAGGTTTGGGTTCTACTTTCATTTATGAAATGGGATATGACCTTCTGGCAGGTGATCATTTCATAAGGTTTGCTTTCTTTTATATTGCTTAATTTTTGGCAGACACCCAGCTTACCAATTTTTCTGTATTTGTAATAATTCTCTTCCTAAATATTTCTGATGAAGAGTGGGGTTATCTGAGTAGGTGTGACAGGCTGTAATCATGACTAGTTTCTTTAAACTGTGATTTCACTCCCATAAAGTTATATCTATAGTTTCCAAAAATGGTTTTTTTTTCGGCAGGTGTGCAAGCTGTAGCTGTTTATATTGGTTTCGGGAGGGAAAAAGGCATCAGTAATATGAAAATTATTAGAGAAGAGCAATTAGAAATGGCAGTGAACAGTGTCTGTTAGCTTTTTCAAATGAGTTGTTTGTTTGAAAACAGGTTATGTTCAGACGAGAACATTAATTGTAACCTCTTGCAGTGTGAAATGTTTTGTTGTTTTGTTTTCAGATTTTGAAATCAGAATGGATTCAGACACAAAGAAGGTGCTCCCAAGAGCTGCAACAGATGATCATGCTGACCCAAGTGTTCAAAGGTGGCTTTTTTGACTGCATTATTTTTTTCTAGCAAGCTAGTTTTATTTGTATGCATTTCAGTTACTTCTTTGGTTCACCATTTTGCAGAAGCAAAGTAGATAACTAACTTGCTCTTTATGCTCACTGAAATATGCAGAAATTGCCATGCCAATTCAGAGCAACAGCTCACCCAGCTCACTACCTTATTCTAACAGAGGCTAAAACTTAACATTTCAGACAGAGACAGGAAACATCAGTCATTGGATGCTCTTATAATGGATACGGGTTTTGAAGTGTGACTGAAATCCCTTCCAAAAAATTGCTACATTATGGCTTTAAAATTCCAAATATTTGTATGTCCAATTAAACATTCAGTTATTCTCTAAGTCTCCAAAATGTGCATCTCAACGGTATGTTATGGCAATTAATTCAGCTGCTGAAAAGTAATTTGAATAGAAAGGATCATCATATCCACATTATAGGTGATTAAATTAATCTTGTGTAGAAGAATGACCTCTCAGTAACTGAAGTGGGACATATATCATTTAAGTAACATTTAAGTAGAATTGGGTGATACTTAACATTTCTGTGCTGGATCACTGCACAGCAATGTAGTTTGTATAGCTTGCTTTTTGGGAAAAGGAGAGCTGGTGAATTGTGTAACGGAAACTTGCTGTCAGCCTTCCAAGGCATTCAGCTTTCCTCACCCTTCCAAGTAGGTTTTTATGGCAGGAAGTAACTGATTCTGAATATTAGCAAAGGAACAAAGTAAATGCAGATGCTGTCAAAATAAGGTAGAATTCTGAATGATCTATTTCCTTCTCAATGTGGGAGAAGTGGAGATCTAAGGACTTAATTCTGCTGTAGGTATTCAGGTCAATGCTGGTACATCTGTGATGCTCATGGAAGAAGAGAGAGGGTCTAAATTACTTAAGTCTGAAGAAGGAAAAGGATAATGAAATTTGTGCAGTCCTGAGATTTTTGTTTACCAGAAAGCAAGCTATACATTCTGCAGTGTTAAAGGACATCATTGAATCATTGTCTTAAAAATTATTATTCTGCATTTGTACAATGGAGTCTTCCCTACTCTTCTTGGTTGTAGATTGGCTTTTCTCTTTGTTCCTCTGTCTGCCTTCTGTGTGGGTACAATGCACCCTCAAGGGAAGCTGGCAGTGAAGCAGCGGCATCTAAACAAACTGGGCTATCATGTGATTCTGGTAAGAAGAGCTCTGTTTCTTTTTGGTCCTGTTTTCGGCACAGAGAAGAGTATGTTTGGTAGAACAGAGCTTTTAGGGAATGATGAGCCTTCTCCAGAGTGGTAGGTGTCTATCCTCTCTACATAGAAGGTAGTGGTGGTGTCACTATGGCGAAAGGACAGAGGAACTCTACCACTTCCCATTATCAGTGAAATAAATATAATCATAGTTTGGGGGTGGGGG